CAAGGGATCATCTAGGCGTACAAGTCAAGATGGCGGCAACCAGATTGCATATATCATACGTAAAACCATGTCCCCCATCGCCTATATATGATGGGGGCTAGAGCCGGCTATTCCCATCTACTCTGGTACAAACATACTCTCGATAGTCATACATCATCCCCCACTGTAACCCTCCCACAGGGTACTCCGCCATGAATACAAACTAGAAGCTGGACATAGGGTGTTACTCGTCCATGGAGGCTCAAACCAGGGTAACTTCCTTGTTTCACCTCCGTTTTGGTACTTTCGGCTGCGCTCGTCACCCTGCCGAGGGTACTGGCGATTCTATGTACTATCAATCTCACTTCGGGTTTTATAACGTATCGTGAAGTAAAAGTGACGATATTTGTAAACAAAAGATTCACTCCAGTACTTTGTGAATATGCGGGAGTTATGAAAGGTGTCCAGATCTCACTGTTAACTATTGACCGGAATGTGGTTCGGGTCATATCCGCTTATTCTAAACTTGAATGGTCACACGCTTAACAGGTAGTAATTATGATGAGAACTAAAGTTTTAGAGGGTGAGCACCAAAAGTGTTTCGGATGGATCCGGAAGTGTTCTGATTGTCCTGGAAGTGTTTCGAAAATCCGGAAAGATATAATATGTCCGAAAAGGTTTCGGGTCTATAGTACATTTATGGATTTGTGTTGGACTTGCCTATGGACCGCTGATAAAAGCATGAAATGTATCATTTGCCTTATAGTACATCATTATGCAATTGCACACAACTTTTCGTATGATGGAATATTGAATTGAGAGAAAAGTTTTTTTGTAGGACCTCGTGTGCAGGAAAATGTCAGGCAGTAACAACACATAAAAATATTAAAATGTGTTGTCTAACCAATTTAGATCCATTGATGTTAGCACATGTTTATATATGAATATGGACCGGGAACTCCACCCGTACATTCACATACATGTCCTAATTCCCATTTCAACTAATTATATTTATTTTATGTAACAACATGTTCACAATGGAAGTCATTGTGATTTACGACAATGGTTTGCTTCATTCATTACATAGTACATATTGTGCAATTTCGTAATACATCCTAATAACATTAACTCCATGTATGTAGGTCCATGTAACAGGAGTGCCAACCCACTCTTCGACTCTTCATTGATACATAAGAATTGGACTAAATATGTTCATGCCCTACGCATGAAGGAAGCCGAGCACAATATAGCCATTCCTCTTCTTCAAGAATGTCAAAGACCCGATTGTCCTTCACCTGGAATTTCACCCTCTATGACGATGATAGCTTTAGATGCCCAATATGTCTGCTTTGGTACTTGTATTGGTACACTTGCATGATCAACCATGCTATATGTATGATGCTATTTTGTGACGTCAATCATTTATGCAATTGAGGTTGAACATATATTTGTTACATTGATTGATAAGAATTTTGTTGTCTATCTATGCTCCAATTCATATTCCGACCAATTTGATATGAATTCCATGTGTTAAATTATAGTAAAGAAAACATATTGTCTTGATCACTGTGCATTGGACACGGTTTAATAAAACAAACCGTATGCAGTGGATATCTACAATACAAACAATTGAAGAAATGAAGCCTCTCTGATGGATAGTTTAATGCACATATTCTAGAAGAAACATATCATGCACGATAAACAAAAGGACCGCACACAATTTTCTTTTCACCACCCGTCAGAAATAATGTACTATCGCACATGTTTCCCATAAATTAATTGTGGGTGATTGTACTCATTATCACACATAATTTGTGAAAATGCAACTGTGTGGGACGATTTTGCCATCACCCGCAATTCCTCATTGGTCAGCGATGACCCCCCCCCCACCCTCGCAACACCAGCCCATGCGAGCACGCGGTTCCAGAAACTGTGTGCGATTGGGGGCCCGAATGGTGTGCATAGCCCCAATTTGTACTACCGCGGGCACTCCTCTTCCCGATGCCATCATCGCACAATACACCTTCCTTCATGGAGATGAAAGGAAGATAATCGGCGGTCCAAACCAAGGCAAGGAAGAAGAAGCCCCGTCATCATCCAGAGAGTGAATCGGAGGTTGTTCCAAGTCCCAACATGCAATAGCAGAGAGGTGAATAGAAAAGACCGCGGTGGCTCCTGCAAAGGAGAAATTTGGTCACCCCCTAGGTCGGCGCTAGGGAGAGTGATACATGGACAGACTCGACCATCAGAAAATTTCACACTTGTTATGATGGGAATGGTACTTTCCAATATTTCACAAAACTCTATCTGTATTGATCCATGCATATATACTAAGCCGGGGAACATACACTATGGATCTATCATTTGAACTCATAGTTTTGGTGTATCTAACATGCATTAATCCTTCTATAATTGAGCAATATATATTTTTAGCGCAAATTGATCAATATATTGATCCCTGATCAATAAATTCTATTTTGAACAACATATTTAATTTGTTATAATGTGAATATTTGAGTGCGTAACCATATTGTAATTTGGACTAGATTTAAAGTCTCCTCCCCATTTCAAAAGATTGAGGAGCCGGTGTTTTGAAGCTGTTTAAACTGAAGAGAGGTTGAAGTGCAAATCAAATGAGATAGTTGTTAATAAGGTTGTATGACTAACGTCTTGTAAAAAAGTATAATGTGCATGATAAAAAGCATATGTACACGTCAACAAATGGATGACAAGTTGTCAACTCACGCCCAATCAACCAACACGGGTAGGCTGGGTAAATCTGCAAGCCTCGAATCTAACATTAAATCTTGTTCAACCTAGAATATTGGTGCATAGATCTTGTTCTACGTCTAAAAGGAGAACTAAATTAATGTGCTTAATTTTTTTCACAGTGCTACAATTATGTGAGTTGGGTTGGAATTTATTCATCCAGACATGTATGTGGTACGCTATAGGAACAATACAAGTTTAAAACTGGAATTACCTATGAATCACACCAACATGCACAAATGTGGATGGCTTCTCAATCAAATGACCAAACTAAGACAACATATACTGAAGCTTGCAGATTGTATTAATCGAAATTTGTCAAAAAAAAGATGCTTAGCATTGTATGTCTCTCCTCCTTGCTTTAGAATACAAATGGACATTTCAGAAAAACAAAAGAAGAGGAGAAAGGTGTGATAGCTCCCGGGTGTCCCTACACTCTCTATGAACAGTAAATTCAAAGAATAGGAAAAAATTCAAAAAAAATCTGAAACTTCACGACATCAGATATGGTCAAACTTTGGAAGTTCTTGCAAGTTTCATAAAAACAAATCATGCAGAGAAAGGTGCACACACGAGTTTCAGATTCCAGTGCTAAAAGTGCTCAAAACTTCAAGGACTGAAATCTATTTCTTTGTGTAGAACTCCTCGAATGTTTGTTTGGCATGAAAACTTGCAATCACCTACAAAATTCAATCATATATGATGTTGCAAAGTTTCACTATTTTTTGAATTTTGTTTCTATTTTTTCTGAATTTACTATCACAGAGGGTGTAGGGGCACCCGGGAGCTGAAAAACCACTCTCGTTAAATACACATGGACATGACTGCAGGAGTGCAGGTCTAATACAGAGAATAATACAGTAAGACTGAATTAGACAACGTAGTAGACAATCAAAATATATATGGAATGATTTGACTGGCAACTATTCAGTGAAGTTATTTAACTGATTATATTTTAACTCTAAGTTGGGCTTCACGGCAACTAAACAGGATTTGGATCCCAACTATATATTCAACACACAAATGAAACATACACAGATGCATATTTAAGGACTCTACAGAATGATACATGGAATTAATATATCTCAACACATGAGAGGCTCAGATTGGCACCTTGAAATGCATGCATGTTCTTCAAGAAAGGAGTATGCTTACCGTCCACCCAATTCTACATATAAAATTATTAGCAACTTGTTCAAGGGAGAGTTAAGCCACCATATGAACAGTGATGGAAGACAGAGAGGCAATAACGAACATAACACATGTCAGCAGTGGAAACCTTAGGTCTCTAAATGCGCAAGTTCCAATAGCTTCTGAAAACTATGGTTCTGTTCTTTACATTACTCAATAGGACAAGGAGCGAAGAACATTGGGGGAAACGTAAGTGGTAGTAAGAAACATAGACAGACAGCTGAGGCTTCCCCATGAGCTATATAGCTATAGCTTGTTTCTGTGAGGATGCAGTTAGTAGTATATAGTACCTTTGTGATCTTTAAACAACGGCAAGCATGCACACGTGTGAGAGCAAAGCACTGTAACAACTGAATTGTGATGCAGTTCCCAATTTGACAACTCCAACATAAACTCACAACCAGAAAAGAACTAAGTGACGAGATATGCATGATTATGTTAGCTCAAAGCTGAACTGTCGTGAAGACTAGTATAATATACACACATCACTTCGTTAGAGTACACATAGGGCATCTAACACCTTTGTATGACACAAAAATAATTACCCAAAAGCATCTACAACACATCGATCTATCTAATAAAGTAGGAATTGACAGCTTAATTAAGCCCACACGAACACTAACAGCACTAAATTTTCCTCCTTATCGGCTGGAATCGAATCTGTCGTCCACATAAACAACATACCAGCAAGACCAAGATGACTAGACCCATGCATATGCTCGGACAAATTGAGGGATAATTATTTAAAGCCATATTGAAAATCAAGATCGAGAAGGTTACACAGGCCACAGATTAAGGTTCAGGAGAGACAAGAAAAGAAAATAGAAGAAGAAGAAGAAAAAGAACAAGGAGGACAACATGATCAGAGATCGACAAAACACTACGAAATTGTACAGAGATAGAAATAGTGCAGTAGACGATAGATTGTTTCCTTGGATCGTTCGTGCGTTCGTGCTCTAACCTTTTTGCAAACTGCCCTGAAACCTTGTGGTTGCTCATCGTGATCTCGCCTTCTCTCCTCCGACAGCAATTACACCGATCTCCCAAGCACCTGTGAGAATTCAGAACTGTGACCGTCCGCCGGCCCAGCCGTGGCCGTCGGCACCGGGCGGGAGCTGCGAGCCGGGACCGCCGGTCATGTTGTTGAGAGGCAGCTGGTTGAAGAAGGGCAGACCGGCAGCCGACGGGTCGGGAGGGAACGGGACGCCGCCCATGCCGGCCGCGGCCGCGGCCTCGGCGTCGCCGGGCTGCTGCATCTGCATGCCTGCCGTTGCAGGCGGCGCCTCCTCGTCCTCCAGCGGGAGGCGCTCGTAGGCGACGTTAGCGAAGGACGCCGCGATGACGATGACCGGGCCCGCGGCGTAGAGCGCGCCCACGACGTTGCCGCCTACGACCTGCCCCTGCCCCCCGGCGAGGAATATGGTGAGGCTGGTGGCGCCAGGAGGAGCCGGCGGGGGCAGGAAGGAGCCCGAGAGCGACAGGATCTCGAACCTGCCGTGCAGGGTCACGACGGCGCCCGCGGGGGCCGACGGCTGCCGCAGGGTCACGTTGGTCACGATGCCGCTGCCGCTCAGCACGCACACGCCGCGCTGCCGCCGGCACGCGTACGTGGAGATGCACTCAAACACGTCGCAGCCGCTCCCGACCTCCAGGATGTGGGCGCGCAGCGTGTTGGCGCTCTCCCGCGTGATGATCACCGGCGGCTTGGGCTTGTTCTTCGATCCCGGGGGGCGCCCCCGTGGCCGGCGCGCCACCATGTCCCCAGGCCCGCCCCCGCCACCGCCACCCGCGCCATCACCGGCGGGGCCGGAGGATGAGGAACCGCCGTCGTTGTTCTCGCCGTACTGGGCGCCGTAGTTGCCGCCGTTGCCGTTGCCGTTGTGGTCGTCGTCGGCGGGCTCATGCTGCTGCTTGGCGTAGCTGTTCTGCTGCAGCTGGAGGTCCGGGTGGAGGTGGTGGAACTGGTGCACGTAGCGCGTCGCGGCGGTGCCAAGGTCGAGGCCTGCCATGCTTCTCTCTAGCTCATGTACTGATGTACTAGCTAGGAAGCAAAAGATTTAGAACTCCAAAAAAGCAGGGAAAAAATACAGGGAGAAAAATCAGATTGAAACAGAGTGGTGTCTTGTTTTTAGGTTTAAAAGGAAGCCTTGGAAAAGGAAGCAATGATTTTTAAAGCGATGCAGTTGTTTATGCTCCTGCTTGGTTTTTAAAAACTCTGGATCCACAAAGAAGCAAACAGGGAAGAAACTAAACAAAGGTGCAAGAAGATAGTGCTTGGATGGAGAGGAAAGGAGAGGTGAGAACACCAAAAGAGAGAGCACGCACTGTGTGATAAGGCGATGGCCGGGAGGGGAGAAGAAGAGAGGACGGCAAGCTATGAAGAGGAGGAGATTAGATGAGAAAGGGGGAGGAGGAGAGGAGAGGGGGTTTGAGAGCTTCTTCCAACCAGTGGGAGGAGGAGGTGCAACATGTACATAAAATAATGGGAGGAGAGAGAGAGAGAGTTTGGATGGGAGAACAAATTCTTGTGCATCCCTCCAGCTGTGGACAAGAAGAAATGGTGCGATGACGCTGACATGTGGGATTCGGCGTATGCGTGAAGGTGAGGCCCATGAGGCAGTTTCATGGGTGTTGTGTGTGCGCTGGTGACAGAGAGGAGACTTTCGGCGAAGGGGCGCGGGGTGAACTATGATGCACCATTGTGATGCATGGCGACAGTGATGGCTTAGCGTGCCCATTGGAAGCTTTATGCCGCTTAACCAGGGTTAGGTGCTTAAACCTGAGGTTAACGACCACTAATCCAGGATTGATACGACTTAGGGTAGAGGTTGTTCATACCGCGCCCCTACACATGGGTCCCACTTCCAGCGCATTTTGCCCTAGGATCCTTTGCTCCGCGGTTGGATCTGGCCTTCATCGAGTGCACACACTATGCCGCGGCGGTACACGAGTTTGGTGGTTCAAATTGATCTTGTAGTCTTTGTATATGCTATATTTTTTGAATGTGGTTGCAACATTAAGGACACAAGAGTTTTGCATCTTAGCCACCGAATGATACTTATAGAATAATGCGATTAATCTTCCTTTTTTCATCGTTCTGAAACTTGCCAAGCCCATTTTCTTCATGGAAAACGGTAGGGAAGACCCCTACTATGCCATTCTATAAAAAACAAATTGGTGAAAAATTTACAGTGGAAGGGGAATACTTGCCAGACCCTTCATTTTCAGTGTTTATATTTGCAATCTCCTAGTTGGATTCTTTTCGACCATTTTTGACAATGGATAGCTCATTGGAGTTGTTTCATGTGGGCAATTGATAAATAGCATAACATCTCTGCAAGGTCTTTTCTAAGAGAATAAAATGTATGCAAGGTATGTCTTTTCATTTGTGACGGCACGTCGTGTCGTGATGTAAAACAACGTTGATGTGCCACTTTCTGTGGCACACACTTTTTACCTAGCTTCGTAATATTAATTTGGTGGTGATCACGACTGCGACATATATAGGTAGGTTAGTATTAGCTTCCCAGCAAGCTTAGTTTTAAGTGGGATTAACCTAATGATTAAGCTGAGCAGCGCTTACTTTCTTTAGCTAATTTAGCCAGCACCGTGCCCATACATATGCTCTAGGAGATCCAAGACACACCATTAACTAATATGCATGCGCGATCAGTATATATGAGATGCAGTTCTCTCCAACATTAAATTTAAGTTCCAACAATTGATTGATGCATTTTTAATTGCTCATTGTCCTTTCGAGTTATACTTTAGACAAGGCTATTTATAATTTGGTTGTATGTAGTTTACTCATAATATAGTATGTCAAGTCAAATGGATGACCCGCATCATTCTAACTCCAGCTTACTTTATATGATCTATCTTATCAATTCGTATACCGGTAACCGGCATGCCGTACTTTCACTACGTGTGATGACCTAAACTTTGGACACTAGGCCTACTTTTTTACCATCTTTTCATGAGACCAATTAACATGAGTAAACTCACACCGGTTTTCCCAAAGTTGTACAACTTTTTTAATGTTTCTCCTTGATCCTTTGGAGGTAAATCTATTCAACCACACGCGTGGTAGTTTTCAACTACGAAGACATGGAATATGTAACTTTACAGGAAACAAAACATAGGCCACCTATAGGAAAGAACACTAGTTTATGTACTCTGACAAGTTGTATTAGTTTCATTGTTTATGTAACTATATAATATAATCAGCTATCAATCATGTAACTTTATGAGAATAAGGACAGATCGTGCACCCATGCTTGGTGCTTATAACTATACTAATAGACTGCAAAAATCTCTTAGCGAATGCAATCTGTTCTTTTGAGCTTGTGGATGGGGTATATATTAATGAGATTATTTACTTGCTTCTATATATTCAAGTTACAATGTACCAATAATAGTATCTGGATATTATATGTATGTCCAGCATGATTACAGTTCCGGAACTGCAGCCGTTGTCTTTTAATAGGTTTATTATTCCAACCGCTTCTGTTATTTAACCATCACGACTAACCATGAAAAGTGACACCAGCAAGGGTCGTATACTTTGAGGGCGGTCTTAACTTAATTGCTCCATTATCTCCACATATATGCACAAAATTATTCTGGAGATCTCCATAAACATGTCTGATTTTGAAATTCCCGTTCAACATAAAATTCCATATCGTCTTTATTATGTACACACCACAAACATAAACAAAGTGACAACTCTTGTAGCATAACACCGCATAAATGATTTGTATAGTAACTCGAAATAGGCTTTTGCCCCGCTTCATAAATAAAGCAATGATCCACACAATCCATGTCCGAACAACACCCGACAGACAATGGATGGGGCTACAGCACAGTCAAGCCCAAGAAAACCATAAAAGAAATAAGAGAAAAAGCCACCTAATGGCAGCCGCGTAGCGGCACTACGAGGACGATAGTCAACGCGCCGAAGCCAAGAGCGCATCCATCATAAGGCCGAGTCGATCGCGATCACACTGCCGCGAGAGTGGGTGCCAGTGCTGCAGAAAAGTAAGGAATTTGAAGGAGTCAGATGCCTTCCTCGGAAAAACCTTCTCGATCAACATCTTATTATGAATCGTCCAAAGAGTCCATGACATCATCGCTAATAGGCGGCGATGTCATGACTGCTATAAAGCTCCGTGTTGGAGAAACTCCACGAGATTTAGGGCCTCCCAGTCAAGCCCCAACACCTCACGGACGTAAGTCCATAACACCCTTGCCCCCGTACAAGAGAAGAGGGTATGGGTCCCTGTCTCTGGTACTGCACAGAGGGGGCATAGACCATCACCAGGTATGTGCCGCTTAAGTACCTCTGTCCCCGAGGGGAGGCGATCCTGTAGTAGCTGCCAAACAAAAATCTTAATCTTTAAGGATACGGGGGCTTTCCATAGGGGGGATAGCCAGGGAGTGGTAGGTGACGGGCAAAGGACATGGTATGTCGTGCTCACTAAGAACTCCGCTGTCGGCGCGAGCCGCTAGGATACCGTGTCCGGATAATCCGGAAGCACCGATGGTAGGGCGGCCCGCAATTTAGTACAGTCGCTACTCTCGGCTTGTCCAAAGGTGTGAAGAAACTGGATGTTCCACTGTCCAGCTTGGAAGGCCGTGGAAACTAGTACAGACGGGTCCACACAAATCAAGAATAAGCCTGGGAAGCAAACACGTAATGGCTCAGTACCCAGCCAGGGATCCAACCAAAATTGGATCCCTTTCCTGTTCCGTAAGGAGAAGCTAGGTGGATGTCCTCCTTGATCCTTTGGATGGCTCGCCAGAATTGTGAGCCCTCCGGCCGGTTGCATGCCAGGAGGGGCTCACCCCTAAGGTATTTCGCCTGGATGAGTTGTAACCATAGCCCTTCCTCGATGCATAAGATCCGCTAGACCCATCTCAGCATGAGTGCGACGTTCATGCGGCGGGATGCAGTAATGCCCAGGCCACCATGGTCCTTAGGCCTGCAAATATCCACCCACTTTACCATGTGATACTTTTGGCGGCCATAGGCCGCCTGCCAAAAGAACCTAGCGAGATCCTTATCGAAGGCACTATGGATGCCCTCAGGTAGGATATACACCCCCATCATGAACATGGGGAGGCTCGCTAGGTTGGAACTAAAAAATGATCGATTTGCTCCCTTTGGAGGTGAACCGTCCTTGCCAAGGCTTTGCTCGAGATGCCACTCATCCCACCAAAGGGTCGAATGCACTCGTCAGGATCTTCGAGTCTGCCATCGGCATCCCCAAGTAAGTAATGGGGAATGAGGTTAGTGTGCAGTTTAGGTTATCCACAATCCTTTGTTGGTCCTCTGCAGGGAAAACTAGGATGATGACCTCACTCTTGTCAAAGTTAATCTTGAGTCCCGACATAGCCTCGAAGCAGAGGAGTAGGAACTTCAGATTAACTATGTCGAGATCGAACACTTCCACCATAATCATGGTGTCATCGGTGTACTGGAGATAAGTGACCTCTCCTCCTGGAATGAGGTGACCAAAAAATCCCGAGAGGTGGCCGGCCCTCCTAGCTTTATCCAGGACTCCCGCCAACGCATCCATGACGAGATTGAAGAGAAGAGGGGATATCGGGTCCCCTTGCTTCACTCCCACAGAGGACGAAAAGAATGGCCCCACCTTGCCATTATTATTAATCGCCGTCTTGCCAGACCGTACCAACTGCATAATCCAGTTGCACCATCTATCCTCGAAGCCTCTGTGCTACATGACTAGCCGCAAGAACATCCAGTCTAGCCGATCATAGGCTTTCTGGAAAGTCCAGCTTGAGAAAGACACCCTTATGCCCGCATGATCGCACCTCATGGACAATCTCGTGAAGGGACAAAATCCCGTCATGGATCAGTTTCCCCTTCAGGAATGTTGTCTGAAGTGGGTGCTTCATCCTCTCAGCAACCGGTGCGAGTCTACTCGCGCATACTTTAGAGAAAATGTGCCCAAGTGAAGGAAATATGCCCTAGAGGCAATAATAAAGT